TCAGATTTTTAAAAGCCAAGTGTCCAGGCACATGTGGTGCGGCAACGTTTCCCTTTGAAGACAGCAAAATCCGACTATTATCTTTAGAAAAGATTAAAAAAGAAGAAATGACGGGAATAGGATGGTGGCAGTGAGGTCGGATGATTTTATCAACAATGGACAGTTTTTCATAAAAATTGACATTTCTCCATCTCCATCTACAGGGGTGTAAACAGCAAAATCACGGAGGAACTTGGAGAGGTTTTTAAGAGAAAGCTTTTCCAAATGCATCCATCTAATGCTTCATTCTGTTTCCCTTTCCCCTTTCCATGTCATCGTTCTCTCCCATATCGCTCCACAATTTACAATAATGAAGATTTGAAACCGTTCTGTTAACTAAAAGCTACTCGTAATCTCTTTACGTATGAATCAACACGCTAACAGTTGCGCTAAACTTCCTTCTCATAAGCTGATCGGGTAAACCGATCTGTCAGCGGTAATCCTTATTTGTTTTAGTCCAGCCGGGGTCAATTACACCTTCATCCGACGCAAGGATGTTTGCGCTCACATCGCTGTCACCTTTTCGATGAGTGCTTGGCCTGATAGGTGAGCTTGATCTGCTTGCTCAGTTCACCTGCTCCTCCATTTTCTTTCTGATAATCACATTTGCAAACCATAATCTTATGAACACCTCGACTGCAAACTTCATCCGTCATTTCTACTTGCTCAATGTTTGGCTTACTTTCAGGACTTCTGATCTAGATTTTCGGAAGATTAAATACAAAGATACCAATCCTCGGACAAAAATAGTGCTTTCAAATTTTTCTGAACTGCTGTTTAGAGCTTTAAAAAATTCTTGCTTTTATCTTATTTTAGGTAAGGTCATGAAAAACACAACTGCAGTAACCTATGAACATTTGTTATTAGAATTCATTCATACAAAATATTCATGTTTAATTTTCCTTGAAGAAAGAGCTTTTAATTTTTTTCACTCAAATGCGCTACGTGCGCTCAAAATGCCACAATTTTTCGCATTTGTTGAGACTTCAGAAACCTGTACGTAATTCGAAATAAGTACTATGTAGCTAAATATCAATTATACATAACAGCGAAAAGCCAACCCCTTTTTTTTGAAATTGGAATAAAACTTTCAAAAATGGGAATTTGCTGTCGCTGCTGTGCTCGAGATCTTTGGCTGATTCTCAGAAATTGCATAAAGCATAGAGAAAATGTAGCTGTCATAAAAAAATAAAAATCTGAGATAATGCTTGATCGCTCGTCGATTAGTGGTTTGCGAGTCTAGTGAAAAAAAAAGAGAAAGAAAGAGAAAGAGAAAACAGACAAAACTTTGGCATATCCTATTATTTTTTAGTTCTTCATCCCCTTTGACAGTCTTATGAATATTGTCTCATAGAAAAAACCTTATTCTGCCTCTAGTTTCCACCTTTCCTTCAAAAGTTTAGTAATTCGGTGTATCTGACCCTCGCGCAATATTCACTGCTGGATCAGTAATAATAAACTTCAAAAATGGAGAGATTGCATGATGTTTGTAATAGTAACTCCACCACATTGAGAGTATGATGAGCCTAGAAAATGCTATGTTCTACAGTAGCCACAGCTGATCATAAGTATACAAAATTAAGCAGAAAAAATTGCAACAGGTTGAGTAAAAAAAATGCTTAAAAAAGTGCTCTCAACACGACCTAATAAATTCGTACTACAATGCTAATAAAATTTAAAAATAATAAAGCAAGCTTTCGAGGCTGTGGTGTAAATTCTGTAGTATTATTGTGTAGATCGCTAATGAATAACTTACACATTTGCGCTAATGCTCACTTATCCAAGAATGGAAGAAAAAGGTAAGGGTTTGCTGTTTTTTTTTTAAATTTCATTCAAGGTGCATGGAAATCAGAGTCTAAGACCTCACAGCTACATAAGCGTATAAACCATGGTATTATTAGACCCGGACACTTTTTTCATAATTTTGGCGCATTAACATATAGCTCTTCTTAGGGCCCCATCAGCGGCATACCAAAGATCTCCGTTTGAGGGGGGGGGGAGGGGAGAGGGCGACAAAAACTTTTTCCCTATAAAGGTGCGTAGCATCAGCCATGTACTACGAAATTTTTTTTGGTTCGCTTGCTGAAATTTTTGCACGCCCATAACCCGAAATTTCAGGAAAAGAGGGCGTGGCGGAAGCCAAGCTCCCAAAAAAAATTCTTATAAGGCTAAATTAAGCTTTTAAAATTTTTTACAAACTATTAGGTTGGTGCAACAGTTCTGTCGTTTCATTTTCAAAAATTTGTAACTTCGCCAGATTTCAACGGATTTGCTTGCTTGTAATTTTATTAGAAAGAATAGGCCTTCCGCTTTCAAGCGCTGTTTTGTGTAGCTTCTGTTTCACACTGTGTGCCGAGATAAAAATGGAAAACTAAGACCATGTAAACTTTGACCATTTTAAGTTAGGTCACCAAAAATCTGGAATGCTGCAGAAAAATCTGAAATCGTCAGTACATATGTTCTTTGGTCTACTCTTTGCATTTGTGAAGAGTTTGTGCTGTTTGAACGTCTCCGTGAGAAGTTATGAATATCGAATTTACCATGGAAAACGCCAAAATCAATTAATTTGTGAATTTTCGCGAAAATCATAACTTCTCACAGAGACGTCCAAACAGCACAAACTCTTCACAGTTGCAAAGAGTAGACCAAAGAACATATGTACTGACGATTTCAGATTTTTCTGCAGCATTCCAGATTTTTGGTGGTCTAACTTAAAATGGTCAAAGTTTACATGATCTTAGTTTTCCATTTTTATCTCGGCACTCAGTGTGAAACCGAAGCTCCACAAAATGGCGCTTGAAAGCGGAAGGCCTATTCTTTCTAATAAAATTACAAGCAAGCAAATCCGTTGAAATCTGGCGAAGTTACAAATTTTTGAAAATGAAACGACAGAACTTTTGCACCCACCTAATATATCAACTGTTTACAAGTATAAACAGGTCGCTTGCTTTTTCTCCCTCCCCCCCCCTTCCCCTCATCCGCCTCGGTACGCCACTGGGCCTCATGTAAAAAACTCATACGAGAAATATCAGTTTTTCAGTTTTGCTCTGTCCAAGAGTTCGAAGACCATCTTGTACGTTTCATTCTTTTCCAGCCGATCACATCAAAGTCTATTTGAATAGCGTGACATTGATGATAGTGACTCAACTTTTTTCTCGGAGGGGACCTCCTACATTTTCACCTCATCGCCCTCTAAGGGTTTGCTGCTCTAAAGACCAATTTGGGCCGAGCCCAAGTTTTAGTAATAAAAAGTTTGCGATAAGTCCAAGTCTTTAAGGTGTGAATTTGATGGCCTTCGCGATAATATCGCGAGAGTAATTTCATTTTTTATCGTGTTTCAACAATGGCGGCTTACAATCGGGAATCACATTAATTTTCTAGATTACGATCGACTCGAGCTTAGTTTATTTATGCTAGTTATTCAGTCTATTCAGACTTTTTCGATTTCTTAATTTCATAAAAAGTTTTATTTATATAAAAGATTTTGCGAAAAAAATGGTAAAAACCTCATTTTTTGTTATAATCACAGCGAATATTCAGTTTTGAAGTAATGATGATTAGGGCTTTCGGTAATTCTACTAAAATGTTAGTATGTTCTTCCGCAGCAGTATCATCTCGAAATTTCCTTCTATGTTAAAAAAGCCCCTGTCCAAATTTCCTGTTTTTGAGCTCTCACGCGCTACAATATTTGTCCTCAAAACTCTCTTCGCTTAGAATGTAAGCAAATATAAAGTTTTGAGTCCAATATTTTTTATTTTCATCACTTGTTCACTTTATGGTGTTATGGGCAATTCATGCTAGCACAATAAATAAAAGTTTAATCTTATTTGAAAATGTCAACCATTGGCTACGATATACCAGGTTATTCAATTTATACTTGTCCATACTATTAGGTTGGCCCGAAAGTTCGCACCATTTTCAAAAAATCATAACTTCTGATTTTTCGAACCGATTTGACTGCCTTTATTTTTGTATTAAACAGTAAGTCTCTCTATAAAGACATCTTAGCTGCTTACTAATGGTTATCTGTTGCATAGATAGGAGTGATGGCAGAAAATTAGTCAAAATTCGAACTTTTTGTGTAGGGTCATAAGAAATCGGAGACTTGCAACAAAAATTGGAGCATTCGGTATTGTAGGTTCTGTCACCAGCTCTTTCTAACAGTGCAAAGTTTGCGCCGATTGAGCGTCTCTATGAAAAGTTATGACTTTCGAGCAAGTTATAGAAAAGGGCGAATTTGATTTTTTGGCATTTTTCAGGGAAATCAAATCAGAAGTTATGAATTTTTGAAAATGGTACGAACGAACTTTCGGGCCAACCTAATATTAGGTGCATACATAAACATTGTAGCAAAATTGTGGAAAATTCATGCTTTCCTTGATGAGATCTTTTACCTTGGCATATATTAGATAAAAAAATTCTTGCACTTTCCAAAAATGCTTGTAAGTTATGCCATTATAATATAGCGATGATACAGGCTTGATAAAACAAAGCAGTCGTAAAATGGTTATTTGGATTTTGATAGTCAAAATAATTTCGAATAATATTAATTTCGGAGACCCCAGAAAAAAATCTCGTTTTAGTTTTGCCTGCAGTTTCAAGACAAACTTTATCTTAGAGAGAAATTCGTGCTGATCAAACTTTCTCCGACTTGTTGTAAGTTTGAATGTTTTTCATTTACCTTTTTCCACTTAAGCCAGGCTCGAACATTCATGACAAGTAACAATTTTTTGATGTACGCTACAAAATGTAAATGTGCTTTGAGAAAATATTTGAACGTTTTTAAAACGAATCTTCATATTTTTCGGTGGAAGGCCTTTGTATCAACCTAATACAAATAAATGTTGCTTTGATAAATTCTTAAAATTAGCTCATGAAGAACCAACATTATTTAGTGTTTGGCATAAAAAACATTTCCTTCACATCCACATCTCTCAGAGAAATCGGGTAATCCTACGAATATGGTAAACACAAGGAAGGACTATATTAGCATCACTATTTTGTTCATTGTCAATCTGCTCAACTTTGTAGATCGCTATACCGTTGCAGGTAAGTTCTAAGGAGCAATCGGCGGGATTAAAAACAAACTTGCAAATTTTTAGGAGTGCTAACTCAAGTGCAGGAGTATTATGACATCGATAACTCAATGGCAGGACTTATTCAAACTGTTTTCATAGCATTTTTCATGATAGGATCACCTCTATGCGGGTATTTGGGAGACAGGCATGTTTATAGGACTTCATAGGACTACTCTCACGGATGAAATACATTATTTTTGTAATTTACAGATTCAATCGCAAAATCATTATTATTGCTGGAGTAGCTACATGGCTTGCAGCAGTGGTCGCTTCCAGCTTTGTACCAGCAAATGTAAGTTCTTCTTCGAATAAATTTCTCATGTAATTTCCGTAACTCGTTAATGCAGAATAAGAACTGGGATAACAATAAACAAAATCGTGCATTATTAACGTCTTCTAATCGTTTGCAGCTTTTCTGGCTTTTTCTTCTGCTTCGCGGTGTCGTCGGCATTGGTGAAGCTTCTTACTCAAATGTCTGCCCATCAATGATTTCTGATATGTTTACTGGTACACGTAGAAGTCGAATGTATATGGTGTTCTACTTTGCGGTCCCGGTGGGAAGGTTAGTTATTTTGTTTATACGTAACACCACTAGGGCTGCATTACTAAGGGGTAGGATCAAAATCAAATTTTGCATCACCTTGGAGACTATGATGACTTTGATGCGAAAGAGCATCAATAGATTATCAAGATGTCGGAAATCTCAGAGGGAGACTTCCTAAGTATTAACTGCGCCTAAAATATATGAATTTCTAAAAATGAAGCCAAAAAAACTATTCGAGATCTGCTCCGATCTGCTACAAATTACTATTATCCTAGATGTTGTTATTTTCAGCAAAATGGTCTCAAATGAGCCAACCGTAGAGAGTTGTTAGTATCTTCTTCTTTGTATTTCTTGACTGCATGCATTGTAATAACTTTTGAGACGAAGTTCACAAAGTTCTCATGTTATAATCTTGTAACGGGGGTTGTCTAGTGGTATTGACGGTTTGAACCGGATCGATCAATAAAGACGGCTAGAATAAAAATATTTATCTCTATGGCAACAACGAACAAGAATAACCTGAACAACTTGATCACTTAACAACGAATATGGGTCCATCTGACCCGATTTGGCCCGCTCAGCAGGGTTCTCTAGCTTCTTTCTATCTAAGGGGGGAGGTCGACCTTTCTTCGATGGCTCGTTTAAACTCCCTGGAGCGCTCTCTTCACGCTCTGCCTGCTCCCCCCTATCCACTGGTATTTATAGCCTGCTGAAGGGGTCAGCGCGGGCTTTTCTTCCCGCCACTGGAGATCGGTAGGTCGGTGATCCGCGCCGTCCAACAATCTAATTTTTCTAGAAATTTTTCAAATTTTTGACATCAAAACATTTTAACCACGAAGAACATTTTACATAGCAGACGTCAGATACAAAAGTCAGCCCCCCCCCCCTACTCTATATATGAATTTTTCAGCGGTCTCGGTTTCATAGTTGGATCAAATGCTGCCAGCATTCTAGGCTCTTGGCAATGGGGTATTCGAATAACTGCTGTGCCAGGTGAGCATCAGCCTAGAAGCTATTCCAGTCAGGATCAAATGTTTAGGTTTATTATAGGAATCGTCGCTTTGATACTATTGGTTTTGTTCGTACATGATCCTGAAAGAGGAGCTGCTGATAAAATTGAAGGAGCACATCTGCCTGGAACAGGAAGTTCATATTGGCAGGACCTCAAAGCACTTATTCGAATGTGAGTACCCTTTGACTCAAATGGCTTGGCAGCTGGAAGGCGGGGCTTCGTGACCTAATTAAGGCTAGGTGTGGCGGCTCTGTGGAATTAGCGCCTTCCGCAAGTGCTCGTCGCATCTACACCTTAGATCCCTATTGTCCCCTATATTATGTTGCGAGTCCAATAGGGTTCGGGATCTGCCGCCGCCGTGAACTACCCCCTTACCCGTACAAAACGACACGTTTAAACACAGAACTACACTACACCCTACTACTAAACGAGTAAGAGAAGAAACACGGGGCGCTCGCATCGCCCCATGCTACCGATGGTCCCGTTAGACTTATCACAGGGATGTGAACTTTCCGAGGCCTCGCACAACAGATCCGTCGCCAGTCGCCCAGAGCCAAAAGAAAGGGTGCAACCCTCTTCGCTCCCGATGGTTTTAGTTTAACAACAACTCCAAAAGGGGTTGCTTTCATCTTGCGCGTCCTGCGCTTGAAAGTCCTGTGCAACCGCTTCTACCGCTTGCTTTACAACAAAAGCGCATCCAATGAGGGAGCTCAAGGCACGATGATACAATGTTGGAATCATAGACAAAAGTGATCGATAAAGACAAAAGTGGACAAGCGAGCAAATGAGGCGCCGCCGCCTTATATAGCCGTTTTGTTGGCTATGCGCTAGCAAGGAGACGTCCGGCGGCGTTTGCAAGCCAAGGCTATACGGTAATCGCGATCAGATGTGCGAATCAACCGTGCTCCCGGCCTCCATACTGAGGAGCGCGTGCATCGCCAGCCGCGACACTAGGTAATGATCAGAGAGCACGCGCACGGTAGAGATGCGATGCGTCTGCGTCGCGGGCACGAGTGGCCTTAACTATTTCACAAAGCCCCGTCTTCCAGCCGCCAAGTTTGTTGAATCAAAGTTTTTGTGAAGAGATCTGGTTTACGCATGGCTTAATATGAGAAGTGTAGTAATAACTTATTTCATCCATGTAGTTGAATTTATTCTGCTAGATTCAAAAAATTTGACAGCTCTGCAAACAGATCTTTCATTCAACATTGCAACTTCTGCGAAAATTCTGTAGGTGCTAAAAATTTTGCTTGTTTTATTTATTTATTTATTCATTTATTTATTTATTACACTCGAAGTGCACCAAAAAAAGAAAAAAAACGAGTAAAAGCACAGACCAACCTAGCCACACTGTATAGAAAGTAATAAATAGGAATATTACTACACTCAAAAACCTCAGACCCATTCGACGGTATAAGACGGAACAGATCTATACTGCATAAGGGCAATACATAAATTTTAAACGTTATCAAGGCTCCAATCTGAGGGCATTCTTGGAGGTATTACATTAAGCTCAAGATAACGGAGTATGATGGGATGTGACCCATCACTTTCGAGTGGTACGCTTTGACGGATAGTACCTAGGCGATATGGCGAAATCCATGCGTACCTAGGACTGTTTCCACTACCCGACGCCCCCACTACCTCCGTGTTGAGCGGCGTGCAATAAATTCAACAAGAATGCAAGATCAGAGAAATTGACAACGTAGAAGAAGTAATATTGCAGTAAGATTCCATTTGTAGGTCTAGATAAGTATTATGTGGAATAGATATTGCCTTTACACCAAGTATCGAAATAGTCATAGGTATGGATGAACGTTTTGAGTGTAAGTTTTTTGATTTTTTTTTTGATTTTTTTGATTTTTTTGATTTTTTTTGATTTTCAGGGTCAAATGACATGATTTTTTGTCTCTTTCCTCCCTTTCTTACCGGAAAATTTTTCCGAGAGCGCCACAGCCTTAAACCATTGATAAGAATTCTGCTATGTATTTCAGTGGATAGAAAAGTTTTATTTACAGTCCTACGTTCGTTTCTTGCACCTGGGCCTATACTGCTCTGATTTTCGTCACCGGTACTCTGGTTTGGTGGGAGCCAACTATTATCGAGCATGGAATTGCATGGAACAAAGGAGAGAATGACACAGCTTCACAACCAGATAGCTCGGACCAGTAAGTATGGCCTAAGCAGGGTTCAGAGTTATCGGCGCTCCATCACTGTGTCAGAGGAGAGACTAAAGCGACGCGTATTATTATCTATATTGATTGATTGACATTCCGGCATAGCCCTGACACGTCGCTGACACGGATGACACGGCAGCGGCACTTTGGACGCATTGTTGCTGTTCGATGATGAAAAAGCTCATTTACTGTTTTATTTCAGCATCGGACTGGTCTTTGGAGGAATCACGACCTTATCAGGACTTCTGGGTGTGACAGCTGGGACAGTGATGGCAGGGGTAAGTGTTTAGCCCTTCCACTCCAAGAAACTAACACAGTAATTAATTCAAGATGATGCGAAAAGGCCGTGGCATCTTTCGACCAATAAAAACAGAGCGAGCTCAACCAATCGTATCTGGACTTGGAGCGCTGATCAGTGCTCCTCTGCTAGCCGTGATATTCATATGGGGCCACCATAGCATCACAATGCTTTGGGTCAGTCTTTCAATCGATATTATTCAAGCATAACCTTTGATTCAACCGGCTTGGCGGTTGGAAGGCGGGGCTTTGTGGCTTAATTAAGGCCGCCTCTGCCCGCTACATAGTCTGTCTTTCTTGCGCGCGTGCTCTCTGATCATTACCTAGCCTTAAACCAGGTCACGAAGCCCCGCCTTCCAGCCGCCAAGCCAGTTGAATCAAAGGGTACCTATTTTGTATAATTTCAGATAATTTTGTTTGTTGTGAGCACATGCTTAAGCTTTAACTGGGGTCTGAATGTCGATATGCTTATGGTAAAAAAATTCTAACATTGTTCCCCTATCTAGCCGTTTTTTGATTATTTTCAGAGCGTTATAGTACCATCTCGGAGAAGTACGGCATTTTCTTACTTTATGCTTATATCACATCTTTTCGGGGACGCTACGGGACCATACATCGTTGGAGCGGTGAGTCATCATAGAAAAATTGGTCATTTTTCACAACAATAACCGTTACTGTTTGAAAGCAAATTTTCAGGTATCTGATGCAATTCGAGGTGAAGTGAAAACCCCAAAAAATCACTACTTGTCATTAGTGAAGGCATGCTCGGTGACTGTAGTGCTCCTTTTCATATCGGCTGCACTCTACTTCGTGTCAGCTGCCACGCTTCTAAGAGATCAAAAGAAGTTCAAGGATCAAATGGGTAAGTATATTTGCGGTTATGAATATCGGTGTCCTTGAATGCGAGCCAGCTAGTACACGAAATCTCGATTCACCGGTTTGGCTTCAAAAATTATTTTCTGCTTAACCTAACAAGGGAATGGTCAGAAGTCGAAGTGGCCATTCCATACAAACTGCATACCATTCGATGCAGCATAGAATGCTGATTTCAAATCTGTCTTCCATATCTGCAGAGCGCCTTTGTAGGCGAAGTTATGAGCGGCTTTACCGCGAAAACGTCATACACAAAAATTGCGAAATTAGGCGCATTATTGCTCTTTTAGCTCACCTCCGAGCACGGGTCGCATGAAGTGACCTAGTTGCTTTTTTGCTCCAACACTAAGCCGAGAATGGCTTTGTACGGCCAAGTTTGCACTTTACACGCACAATTTCTTAGCAAAATAATGGCCTTCAGCGGCTTATAATTTCGTCCACAAAGACGCTCTGCAGATAAGGAAGACAGGTTTAGAGTCAGCGTTTTATGCTGCTTCTAATGGTATGCAGCTTGTACGAATTGGCCACTCCGACTTCTGACCATTCCCTTGTAAGCTTTTTCGTGCTTTATCAAATTTGCAGATGAGGGTTAATAGAAGATAGATATCAAGGATTTCAAATCTCACTTGAGTTTTATAGTTGGGTTGAATAGGGATTTATTAGGTTGTCCCGAAAGTATTGTCCGTTTTTTCAACCTATCATAAAAACGCGTGGAACGAAGATAGAGAAACGCCCTAAGCACTACCTGACGCATCTTTTCCTCCTCTTTCTAACTGTCAAAATCTTGTGCAGATTACTCTTTTGCTCGCTGAGATAAACGCCGAAATTTCGAACCCATGGTTTTTACTATGTCCAAGTTTGACAATTTCACAATCTTCATTTTCAACTTTTGGAAGACCTTTGATGGCCTTCAGATAGAGTAAGCAAAGGGCAATGCAACTTGATTATTTGGCATATCTAGCTGGCTTTTCAATATTTTTAAAGATAATTTTTTCAAAAGTCTTCACTTTTGCGAAGTTCAAGAATACAGAAACGCCTCGAATACTAACAAATCATAGGATTTTGAAGCTTTCAAAAACCGATTACGATTATTCACTATTTTTACGAAGCAAATGAGCGTTTACCGCTTCGAAATATAAGATTTTGCATTTTACGTGTACAGGCTGGGGTGGGGTCAAATTCAAGACTTATGATAATTTCATCGCTAAGGACTCCGCAAATTGGAGAGAAAATACACTCATTGGAAAGAGGAGGAAAAGCTGCATCGAGTAACACCTTAGTTGTGCGCCGTTTCATGATCTCTTCTTTTGGCATCACCAAAAGTGGGATTTAATAGCATCAGAAAAATAATTCTAAGAAATTTTCAAGGCTGGCTATAGATGCCGCAAAATTGCATTACATTGCACTTTGTTTGCTCTATCTAACTGTTGCCAAAGCTTTTCCAAAAGTCAAAAATAAAGATTGTGAAAAATTGCCAAACTTGGACATAGTAAAAACCATGGTTTCGAAATTTCGGCGTTTATCTCAGCGAACAAAAGATTAGTCAGCATGAAAGCAAGACAGTTAGAAAGATAAGGAAAAGATGTGTCGGATAGTGCTTAAAGCGTTTCCCTATCTTCGTTCCACGCGTTTTTATGATAGGTTGAAAAAACGGACAGAACTTTCGGGACAACCTAAAATAATACATGTAGACAAGGCTTCTGCAGCTCTCAGAATTTACTTATTTTTTAATAATCAGTCATCAGAAGTTGAACGACGCGTAGGTCTTACTTTTTAGCCGTTTCGCTGCCAATGTAGAGTTTCAAGGCTATTTTTTACTTTTCAAAAGCATACACTTGCAGATTTTAGCACCGATCGAAATTGAACTCATCCTTGGCCAGTATAATATTTCATTGTAATGTTTTTCTGCCATTGGACGATGGTTAGCTTATTTGGCAAATTAACCGCAAAAAAAATCGTGTGGTATCGAAACAATGGGTTACAGCAAACCCTATAGAGAAAATAAATAATATCACCGTATTTTACTATACCTAAGATCACAAATAGAAATTTCGAATGTGCTTGACTAGCAGTATCATACAGTATATTATAGCATAGCTTGTAGGTATGACAAACTGCAAGCTGAAAGATTCCACATCTTCTGCGTCGTCGAGCGAGAGGTTGCACGGAAGTTGGGATGAACGGCAAAGAAAGCACCAAAAAATCTGAGCAGGAACTCAAAATCAAATCTCAATAACTGGCTGACGATATTACCGTAATAATGAGTATTTTTTGGCAGTATCAGGTTCAGATCGTACCTCGCTTCAGACTTTCACCAGAACAGAGCGGGTGATAATGATTGTGACTATACATCATTTTAAAGCGATCATCAATTATTAGGTTGATGCAAAAATGATGGCCGTTTTGCGGATTTTCATTACCAGCTATAACTTTCCGTAGAATCTATATCTCTGAATGACATAAAAACCGTTGGAAGCAGCACACCTTTTGCAATACAGCGCACATTCATTTATACTTACTTCACAAGGGATAGGGAAATATGGATAAGTAAACAAAAAAGTATTTTTTGAATCCCATTTTCAACAAGTCATAAGCTCCAAAATTTCTTATGATAAATGACAAGTAGTGTATCTTGTAGCCAGCCAGTAGTACAAAAGGCGATGAAAAGATTTGGGCCAAAAAGATTTGCAACAAAATAAAATCTAATATTATTAGATTTTACAACATTTTTTCGGTAGGCCTCGAAGTTCCAGTCATAGGAGCTTTGGTTTTCTACGTACTTAACAGCTGTATGATGCAGAAATTGTCAACAGGATCCTATCCTTACGCTTACAGAAATAAGAAAAGCTTTGACGATTGCTTTTTTGATGAATGTGGGCCATAAAATGACTGCAACACTATCCGTATTGAAAGGCGATATCTCAATCTAGATGATTTCTTAGAAAGTAGTCAAGCGTTTGTAATTTAGTGAATTTCTTCTACACCGCTCGTTTGCGCTTACTTTCTGGCCAGAAAAGTGAATGAGATTCTGATTTTGGATGCCTTTACTCGAAGCTTTTTATCTATGACATGACACGGATGAGATTGGTATTCTGAATTATCTATCTTTAAATTGAGTATGAAAGGAGCTTCTCAGCGGTATGTTACATTCGTTTTAAATCAAGAATTTTAATGTATAAAGGCGTGCTGGAAAGTGCGTGAAAAAACGACCAATATTTTATGAAGATTTTTGCATCAAACCATACTTGTACCTCGCATTGTATCCACCTCATCTACCTCATCTACATATCACTGCGCTTTGTAATATGCCAATAAAAGTTTTGAATATTTTCGAAACAAAAAGCCTTAGGTTTTTTCGACAGGTAGCTCTCGAACGACAGATTTTACAGCAGCTTGTATGGATACGAATCCATGAAAAGCGCAAGGACACTTACAATAAGCCATGACCTTATCATTTTGTCTTAAAAGTATGCATACACTTTTTGGTAGTTAACATCTCTTTACCCAAAAACTTTTGCTGAATTTTAGTTGCCATTTAGTGGAGCAGGCTTCAACTTACAATTAGATGCACAATGTGAAGCTAGATAGCTGAAATGAACTACTAATGCGCCAAAATTGTGTGCGTTCATTTGCGACAGTGCCACGAAAAAACTACCAATAGTTTTGATTTCAAAATTGTGCTATAGAATGATACAATCATCCTCTACAGAATATCTTTTCAAGAGCCGAAGCTGATTACCACACGTGCTTATAAGAGCTGGAATTGTCGAGCTACTACTTTCAAGTGGCGCAAAAACTCAGTTTTTTATGTTTGCATTCCATTCCGTAGCTGGAGCTTACAAGATTTGAAGCCGTTTCATGTGCGCATTGTAGAAGAGACTTTGCACTATTATACCGTATTATTGGGTCATTCGGAAATTTTTTTCGTTTTCGCACCTTTAAATTCAAACGAGCACAACTTTTTCCAAATTCCATCTTTTTCTTCCAAATAAATTTCATTGTGTTCAGCAGAATTCTGGTGACATTATTTTAGTGTCCATGTGCTTTTTTCTTGCGAAATCATCTTAAGGGAATCAATAAAACCTAAAAAGGCATTTTTGGCAAGCCAATTTTTATTGGGTCCTATTATTTTTCAGTAGGCACCGAGGAATCGGAGAATTTGGTGGCTGGTAAAGAAAGGTCCATAGAGTTCGAGAAATGAACAGGAACCTCGGTGCGCAGTCAACCCTTTTTGTGAGGGCCACTTTTCTTACATGTGGTTTGACGGCGTCAGGGCGAGGATGGCACCCTTCATAGATTGTACGTGCAAGTCTGCTCAGTTTTAATTTTGACAAACGGTTTCTAGAGCGGTATCATACTACTCTGCTCTTACACCACAACCACATCTTAGCAAATTTATAGCGTGCAAGACTAGCAGGATTAGGTTAAATTGAGTACATCAACCTTTTGGAATGACTTACTGTTCATGGCCATGCTTGCAATGTTTGTTCTATTAGGTTGTTACATAAGGCTGCGTTCATACTGATTCCCATGTTCTGGAACTGTTCCCGCACAGTTCTCGCACTGTGCTGAAACTGTGCGGGAACTGTGCGGGAACTGTGCGGGAACAGTTCTAGAACTGTGCTGCATGCGCTGCAGCCGCCCCGCACCGTTTTGAACGGCGGGAGTTGGAGAATTTTGACCGTTCTCAACGGTTTTTCTTCCAGATTTCGCTCATTTTGGCCTAAATCCTCCACCCCGCTTCCCTTTTTGATCAGCAGCACTGCGAACTCGAAGCGGGGTTGAAGAATGAGCGCTTTTCTGCGCCGTGTATTCGGAAAGATGGGCTATCGTGCGATTGTTCATTCTGTCTTCTTGTTTTTTGCTCAAAACTACTTCATTTGTTCCAGGAAGCGGCTGCCCAGTTTCCATAGCCATCTGCCACGAATTAGGGAGTAGGAGAAATCCTGAAATTGCATGAGTTGGGACTTGTCTCTTGTTTTTCATGATTTTGGGCGTTCTTAGCCTTGTTCGTTTTTCCATGTCGT